ACAACCGCTTCCAGCTGTGTACAGTTCATTACTTCCATTGCAGGGAAGAACGCCACTGTATTTCACATCTGGTCATGTGCTTATTAATTATGTACTTCTTGTAACAACTGTGACTAATTAGGACAGAGCTGAGACCTTTGTGGAGCCTAGCGATTCTTTATGTTTCCTCGTTCTTGGTACCTCATTACCCTCCCTCCAAATCATGCCCAATTTGTGTGACATTCCTGCCACATTAACGCAATTGCTCTCAGGTGTGCGTCTTTGCGCACAGACTTTGCTTTTCAAGTGAAATTTGGTTGACCAGGATCCGCCTTGTTTCCACATCCTGCTAGAAGGACACAGCCCTTGATGGCCTTCTGGCCGCATTTGTCCTGGGAGGAGTGACCCTTGTTGGAGCCTTGCCGAGCCTGGAACTGGACGCTGGTGTCCTTGGCTCTCTACTGTGACCTGTTGGTGCCCTGGTCGTGGGGAGGCAGCCACAGCTGGGCCTCAATGAGGCGGCGTAACTAGGCAGTTGAAGTTCAGGTGAGCTGAACCCTCGGGTCTCAGCAATGTCACCCTATCTCTGTACCTGTCTGCTTGATACACCTAACTTCCCAGGATGCACCTGTCGCATCCAGGGCCCGAGCCATGCCAAGACCCCACCCTATTTGTATATCCAATTGGGATCCCACCCCCTTCCTTATAAAAAGAGGTGGAAGTGAGGAGGGTGCTCTAGTGCTCTCTTTTCCCCATGGATTGATCTCCGACGGACTTCAGCCGGGCCTTGGGTGTCTCCCGCTCTCGCTTACAGGTACTGGTCTTGGTTATTTATTTTTTTGTCTTATTTATGGGCAACCCTTTGGCCTGCTCATATGTGTGTTTCTCTGTGTGAGTGGCCCATACTCATTCGTGAGTATGTGTTTATTCCTTCATAGCTGCTCTTCCTGTTTGCACACAGTACTAGCCTCTGCTTAGTACTTTTATTTCTAGGGGGAGGCAACAACCTGGATTGGAAATTACTAAATGCTCATTGCCCACACAAGAGCCGTAATCCAGAGGGCAGTGGTCTCGGTCTCTTTGTAGAGCCTGTGACGCTGGAATCCATTGTTCCATCGAGAAATGGTTAAAGGTGAACTTCTAGGCTGTTCCGGCCCTCAGGAACACAGTGAATCAGTCTTGAGATTCCAGAAGGACAAAGCTCAGGGTGGCAGAGGGTCAGGCTGAAGATTTGATCCTGTAGATGGCTTCCTGAACGATAGGGTGGTCTCGAGCATTGAGAATGTGGGCTCTAGAGAGCGTGTGATCAGTGATGGGGTTGTAAGGAGCCAGAGGAGGCCTGGCGCCGCTGCTCACTAGGCTAATGCTCCGCCTTGCGGCACCGGCACACCGGGTTCTAGTCCCAGTTGGGGCGCCGGATTCTGTCCCGGTTGCCCCTCTTCCAGGCCAGCTCTCTGCTGTGGCCAGGGAGTGCAGTGGAGGATGGCCCAAGTGCTTGGGCCCTGCACCCCATGGGAGACCAGGAGAAGCACCTGGCTCCTGGCTCCTGCCATCGGATCAGCGTGGTGTGCCTGCCGCAGCGCGCTGGCCGTGGCGGCCATTGGAGGGTGAACCAACGGCAAAAGGAAGACCTGTCTCTCTCTCTCACTGTCCACTCTGCCTGTCAAAAAAAAAAAAAAAGTGCACTCACAGGTGATAATGATAGCTGTGGGTAACCAAGAAAACCTGGAGGAGAACCTCTGATGATCAGCAGTTCTGAGAACATAGTTTGCCAACAAGTAGCAATGGTTGGGTCGCATCTGTTGAATTAGTGCTTCCTCTTTCTTCCTCTTTCCTTTCTTCCTTCATCTCAAAGTCATCCAGATAGTTTCAGGGGCAGCCCAGTATTTGCATTCTGCCCTGCCCCCTTCTACCTGATAACCTGCCAGGTGGGGGTCCCTGCCCCTTCTGCCTGATAATCTTCCAGGTGCAGCCCAGTGTCTGCACTTCAAACACACCCAGCCCCTTCACCTGATAATCATCCTTCCTCTAAGGCTCCTCTAAGGTAGGCGAAGCCAGCCAGGCTTCCCCCTGTCTGATAACTTGATGGGGAAAACTCAGATAGGAATTTTTCGTATTTACATCCAAAAAGTCCTTTGTTCCAAGTGGAGCAGAGGTGGGGAGGCAAGACCCATCCCCTTAACCCCCCCCAACCAGACTGTGCGCTCAGCCCTCTGCCTCGCTGCTGAGCCGCCCGCCTGGCCTGCCCAGGTGTACTCTCTCCACTCAACCATGTAACCCTGCTCTCCCCTAGTCCAAGCGACTGGGCACTCTCTCTCAGGTCCTGTCTGGAGAGGTGCCCATCGGTTCTTACGGATGTCCCTTCCCTAATAAACCTTGCTATTTTACTTTCCACTACTCTCTGTCTCATGCCTGAACCCTGCCATTCACCGGTAACACTATGACATGATGAATCAGGATGGAGGATGTAGCCTCAAAGCCCGCTAGTCCTTGGCATGCCCCAGCCCTTTCCAGGCATGGCTGTGAACAGCACAAAAGCCGTCTCACAGGGTATCCCCAGGTAGGACCCTAGCGTGCAGAAGGCCTGTGTTCCATCCAGCTGAAGGTGGGCTTGGACGTGAGCTGGACCCTCCTCTGAGTGTCTCCGACCTGCTGAAGAATACAGACAGATGTGCCAGTCTTCAAGAAAGTTTGCTTTCACTGTCTTGGACAAAGAACTCCAGACACCCTTTTCTGTGCGGAGTCGACATTTTCCCAATCCCATCCCTGCTGTAGGCAAAGCAGGATTCCACTTTCCCAAAGGCAGTGCTTTTTGACCTTCACCTCAACCTACACCTGGTCCCTTTCTGTTAGTGGAGATGGCTACCCAGGGGCTCTTGTCTTTGCGCAAGAATTCAGACGTGAGACAGACAGTAGTGGGAAGCAAGGCAGCGAGGTTTAATTTTGATAGGACATTGGTCAGGACGGACGGGCACCTTCCAGACAGATGTGGGAGTGCCCAGCCTGGGGTCAGCAAGGTGATACAGTTTCATGGTGAGAATACACCTGGCAGGCCACGTGGGCGTCTCAGGAAAGCGTTGCACTCCAGTATACATTCAGAGTGGAGCTTAGAAGGGAATGGGGCCCAGCACTAAGTGTTGTTTCTCCTTCCCACCTCCCTCTACCTGGACAAAGGGTTTGCTGGGTATGGAATAGGTGAAATTCCTCCCAGAATTTTGTTATCCAGTGTCATCAGGCTGAGTAGCTCACTTGGCAGCAGACAGGGTTCTCCTGCGGTCCTGTCCTTGAGGGGAAGGCTGGGACCACCTACAGAGTTACTGGGGTGTCCGTGGGACTTTGTGGTGTAAAACACTGGGCTGCTTGCAAGGTGCTTGAGGCTGCAACATTCCTTTTGGCAGGTGCTTTGTTTTCCTCCCATTCACACACACAGGCTGATTTTCTTTTTTTAAAATTTAAAAATTTTTATTTTGTTATTTTTTAACAGGCAGAGTGGACAGTGAGAGAGACAGAGAAAGGTCTTCCTTTTCTGTTGGTTCACCCCCTAATGGCCACTGTAGCTGGCGCACTGTGCTGATCCAAAGCCAGGAGCCAGGTGCTTCTCCTGGTCTCCCATGCGGGTGCAGGGCCCAAGCACTTGGGCCATCCTCCACTGCACTCCCGGGCCACAGCAGAGAGCTGGCCTGGAAGAGGGGCAACCAGGACAGAATCCGGCACCCCGACTGGGACTAGAACTCAGGATGCCAGTGCCGCAGGCGGAGGATTAGCCTATTGAGCCACGACGCCGGCCAATTTCTCTCTTTCTACCTAACATTCCCACATCCTGTAAAACTAGCCTAAGCACGCCTCACTCCCATGCTGGTTTTCCAGGCATCACTGTCGCCACCTGGGGTTCTCCACTTGGAGTGGACAAGGAGGAAAAGAAAGGCACAGAATCTAGGTTGGGGGCCACAGCCACTCCGAGGGAGCTTTCCAACAAATGTCTACCCTAATCTCCCTCCTCCCACCCCTAATTCTTGAGTGGGCTCCTTCCAGTAATCATACTGGGAGTATGCTTTCCAAGGTTGTTTCCTACAGAGTCAACGTCTTCCTCATCAGGTCTCTGCCGAGATTGGCTGGACTACCTGGAAGGCCATCTTCCAGCTCCACTGTTGCTCTACTCCCAAGTTGCTCTACTGTCTGAACGGACTTCTAACTCAGCCCAACTGTACAACGGTGGGTTTGGGTTCAAGTCCAGTTCCCATAGTCGTTGTTAATAAGGCTGTCCTCTTTGTATAAGTGTATATTGGACCTCATGCATAGCAGCAGTGGGCACTTCTTTGGGTCCCAGGGAATGTATGCTGGCTACAGAATATTAGAGAAAAAAAAATATAAGCCTCCCAAAACATTTTTAATTTTTGTTTTCCCCACCAAGATGGAAGTTGTACCAAGAGGTCTAAGATTCCCAGCCAGCGGGGAACGGCACATGACCGTGTGCAGACAAAGGCCTTCTGTGAGTTTTCAAGCTCTACCTCCGTCCATGCGCTGCTGCCTCTGTGTCATGGGAACGGTGGTGAGGGCCAGTGTGCCAGGAACAGCCTCAGCTCCGGGCCGCACAGACAAGCACTGCGGCTGCCCCATCTCCCCTGCACTCAGCCGAGCAGACCTGGGCTGCTCCCCAAGGAGATGGCACCCAAGGGGCTTGCAAGGACAGTAAGTGAGCACCTAAGAACCATTTGCCCCCAAACCATGTTTCAAGGCAGGTGAAAAGTTGTGTAACTATTTTCTCCTAAAACTAGAAGGGGGAAAATTGTGCACAGGGTTGAATCACCTTTCATTCTTCCATTTTCGTCACTAATTTTATGGCGCTTGGTTTTGACACAGCGGGAATAAGACAGAAAGGCAATAAACCAACCTCTAACCCGTGCACTGGCTGTAGAATACTAACTTCTCCCAGGGACTGGGATAAGAGGACTGCTGCATCTTCTTTTAAGCCTCAAAGAGGTTCTGTTTGATTAGGGAAATTTGAGCCAGTAGAGAAACCATTTACTTGAAGTCATTTATTTGATTTTGGCAAGAGGTGGAAAGCAATACACATATTTATTTCATTGACTTGTAAACTGACAAGGTTAAGGGATTACATTTATGTAACAGAAAGCTAGTAAATGGTTTTAGGAAGAGACAAACTTAGTCTGATTTCCAAGGCTGGAATCTTAGCTATGCTGGGCAATAAACAAAACAGGAGTTTTGTAATTGATCCATGGCAGAGCCCACCAACTGGACACAGCCCTCCTACTTGGGCCACTCCAGGCCTCTTGGAATGGACCGCATTGAAGTAACTGTCAGGTCAACACATCCTACAGGGTTCCTACGGGAAGCCAGAACTAAAGGACACATACCCTCACACCTTGTTCATAAAGCATCAGTGGGGGAAAACTAAGTCGGCTCAGAATATGCCAAGCAACATGCCAGAGAAACAAGTCAGGGCTGAGCAAACCAGAGAGAACCCCGGCCGCCCCCCACCCCCGCCACGCGCCCCATCAGACGGTGGTGATCTTCTTGTCCTTGGTGGCTTGCTTGATGGCGGCCTGCTCGCAGATGATCTCCTTGAGCCGCTGCAGCCTCATGTTCTGGGTGGTCTGGTCGCCCACGCCCGTCTGGCTGCGGTGCAGCAGGGTCAGAGCGTGGATGTACTCGAGCTCCGTGTACTTGACGCCCTGGTCCACCACCAGGTTCAGCAGCTCGTCGGCCGTGTTGTACAGCATCTCATAGTACTGCCTGGGGAGCAAGACAGGACACTGCTCAGCACCCCTGCGCGCTGACCTCAGGAGAAGAAAGAGAAATAGGGGTGCAGAACCGAGGAGGGGAATAATCTGGCAGGCACTGCCAATAGTTTTTCTCTCCCTTAATCCCCCACTCACTCAAGCATTGGGGGCTCTGAGAAACCGATGGTTTCACCTCTGTAAAATGGGATAATTACCGTACCTGCGTCTTGAGGTTATTGGAAGGAATTAAACGAGTAAATACATAAAGCACTTAGTACAGCACCTAGCACAATTCTAAGTACTCCCTAAACATTCGCTCTTACTAGGAACATGGCAGCAGTGTGTCAACAGTGCTGTGATGAGAGTAGCGATAGGATGTCATGATGAGAAAGACGTGGCTCCTTCCCTCAAGGAGCTCAGCAACCAGGAAAGGTGGCAAAAGGCAGAGAAACAAAGACTGGCACACTGGGCCAGTTCACCTTCGCTGTATATGGGGGAGGGAGGAGGCTGTCACTCCCTTTTCTGAGATAGGAAACTGAAACAGAGAATTAGAGGACTTAGCCAAAGTCACAAGGGCACTGAGTGTCAGGAAACAAACTCGGTTTCTGCCTTCAAGTCCAGCACTGAAGCACTTAGAAGGAGAAGATTCCTGGTGCCACAAGTGAGGTGTGGTTTTGTTTTAAGATTTTAATTCCTTGAGAGGCAGAGTCAGACAGGGAGAGACAGAGAAAGGTTCTTCCATCTGCTGGTTCATTCCCCTAATGGCCACAGTGGCTGGAGCTGGGCCAATCTGAAGCCAGGAGCTTCTTCTGGGTCTCCCACGTGGGTGCAGGGGCCCGAGGACTTGGGCCATCTTCTGCTTTCCCAGGCCATTAGAGAGCTGGATGAGAGGAGCAGCTGGGACATGAACCAGCACCTATATGGGATGCTGGCACTGCGGCCAGTAGCTAAGCCTACTGGGCCACAGTGCCAGCCCCACCTGTGAGGTTTAAGTGCCGTGAATTTTTAGCAGAGGACAGAGGGGAGGGTTTGGGGCTAAGGAAGACTTCACATGGAATAAGATATTTTTGTTAGGATTTCAGGAAGGAAAGTCTAGGTGGAAGGAAGGGAAAAAGCAGACAAGAAAAAAGTGACCTGGTTAGAATGGGCAGTGGTGTAAATGAAGCCACAGGTAGAGTGCTTGAAACCTAGACTTACAGATGCAGGCCTGGTTAAGCCAATAGAGGGTCCCCCAACACAAACACATACACACACACACATACCTCCAAGGCTCTGTGGAGAGAGAGCACCATTCAAAGTCACGCTTCTGGAAGACTAATGTGACAGCAGAATATAGAGTGGCTGGGGAGGGAACTGGCTATAATTCTAGCAAAAACGCGGGGACTTGGAGAGCCATTCGACGGTGAAGAGTAATGCCTGCGATGGGAAAGTGGAGCAGAGTGGCTCTGCAGTGCAGGGAGAAGGTGCAGCTGGGACTCGCTGAAGGGAGAAGGCCAGCACCGGCCATTCCTAAAGCCGACACTGACTACTGCCCCTCAGTGAGCCCACTGGGATTGCAGGCCACGACCTCGTTGAAGATTGCCTAGGAGGTATTGTTCAGTACACTCTGGGCCAGCTCTGCTACTACAGTCTGTTGGCTAAAGAACAGAAGAGCCTTCCCAGGGAACCCCTACCCTAAAAGGGGGCTTTGCCAGGATAGAGGGGATAGGACCAGGCAGATAAGTCAACCCAATTCTTGGAGGTAAGAGGATCCTACAGGGGCTGGCGCTGTGGCACAGTGGGTTAAAGCCCCAGCCTGCAGTGTCAGCATCCCATATGGGTGCCAGTTTGAGTCTCAGCTGCTCCACTTCCAATCCAGCTTCCTGCTAATGCATCTGGGAAAGCAGCGGAGAGGATGGCCCAAGTCTTTGGGCGCCTGCAAACACATGGGAGACCCAGAAACTCCTGGATTTGGCTTCGGATTGGCTCGGTTCTGGCCGTTGTGGCCATTTGGGGAATGAACCAGTGGATGGAAGACCTCTTCCTGTCTCTGCTTTCTTCTCTCTCTCTCTGTCTCTCACTGTTTCAAATAAATACAATAAATCTAAAAATAAAAACAAGGATCCTGCAGATCATTTGGATCAGGAAATCCTGTATTATTGGACTCAGAGCTCGGGGTTTATTTCTTTGTTGTCAGGAACATCTTTGAAAAACAACAACAAAGGACATCCTATGGAAAAACCCATCTTTTTTTAAATTTATTTTTAATTTATTTGACAGGTAGAGTTAGACAATGAGAGAGACAGAGAAAGGTCTTCTTTCTGTTGGCTCACTCCCCAATGGCCGCTATGGCCGGTGCTGCACTGATCCAAAGCCTGGAGCCAGGTGCTTGCTCCTGGTCTCCCATGAGGGTGCAGAGCCCAAGCACTTGGGCCATCCTCCACTGCCTTTCCGGGCCACAGCAGAGAGCTGGACTGGGACTAGAACCCAGTGCCCATATGGGATGCTGGCCCTGCAGGCGGAGGATTAACCAAGTGAGCCATGGCGTCAGCCCCGGAAAAACCCATCTTTAGGGTAAGAGACACATTCTAGGAACTGCAGAGTACCGAGAACAGCTGGTAAAATGTTATCCGATGGGAATGGTCAAGAAGAGTTTTTGTCTGCTGACATAGTTCCTTTTTCTGTTCTGTTAAACTTCCTTTTCTAATAAACATACTTTTTAAAAAAATCATTTTTTTTTTTTTGACAGGCAGAGTGGACAGTGAGAGAGAGAGACAGAGAGAAAGGTCTTCCTTTGCCGTTGGTTCACCCTCCAATGGCCGCCGCTGCAGCCGGCGCACCGCGCTGATCCGATGGCAGGAGCCAGGATCCAGGTGCTTTTCCTGGTCTCCCATGGGGTGCAGGGCCCAAGCACCTGGGCCATCCTCCACTGCACTCCCTGGCCATAGCAGAGAGCTGGCCTGGAAGAGGGGCAACCGGGACAGAATCCGGCGCCCTGACCGGGACTAGAACCCGGTGTGCCGGCGCCACAAGGTGGAGGATTAGCCTATTGAGCCACGGCGCCGGCCCTAAAAAAATCATTTTATTTGAAGGGCAGAGTGACACAAAGAGGAAGAGATCTTCCAACCACTGGTTCGCTTCCCAAATGGCTGCAACAGCCGTGACTGGGCCAGAGCATGTAACTCCGTAGGGGTCCCTCACAGGGCTGGCAGAAGCCCATGTACTTGGGCCATCTGCTGCTGCTTTCTCGGGTGTATTAGGAGGGAGGTGGATCAGAAGCAGAGCAGTGGGGGCTGGAACTGGCACTCTGATAAGGCATATCAACATCGTAAGTGGTGGCTTAAAACCCGCTACACCGCTACACCACAACACAGACCCCAACATAGTATTTAAAAAAAAAAAGGGAAAAATGAATATGAAAACTGATTTAGGAATCACTATAAAGGGTAACTTTGAATGTGAACAGATGTGCTTTTGTTTAAAAACAAAACAAAACACGGAGCTGGCATTGTGGTGCAGTGGGTTAGGCTGCTCCCTGCAACACTGGCCTCCCATCTGGGTACTGGTTCAAGTCTCGGCTGCTCCACTCTGATGCAGCTCTCTGGCTAATACACCTGGGAAGGCAGTGGAAGATGGCCCAAATGCTAGGTCTCTGACACCACATGGGAGACCTGGATGAGTAAATAAGTCTTTTTAAAAAAAAAAAAAAAAAAAGACTTGCTGATTTCTCCAAGACAGATGTCTTCCATCTTCTGGTTACTCCCTGAAAGGCTGCAACAGGTGAGGCTTGGCCAGGCTGAAAAAAGGAGCCAGGGGTTCCATGTGGGTCTTCCCATGGGTGATAGGAACTCAAGTACTTGAGCCCATGACCTGCTGCCTCTGAAGGTATGCGGTAGCAGGAAGCTGGATTGGAAGTAGAACTGGGACTCTGATGGGGGAGGCTGGTGTCCCAAGAGGCAGCTTGACCTGCTGCGCTACTAGGCCCACTCCAGAAGTCCTTCCAGTAGAGGGAAATGAACTCTAACCTCCAGAGGTCTAGGGGCCCAGTAAAAGCTGTGGTCGGGAACATTTTTGAGGCTTCATGTTTACTGTGAAACCCAAATGGGCTTTGTGCCCTACTTATCACTGGATCTTCAGGTATTTAGAAGTGGTATTGTAAAGGAGAACTCGATGCTAAAGGGAGATGCATCATGTTTATTCTACGGTTTCACGTGTGCCCCGGCAGCCATGCCTTCCTCTCAGACACTGGTGCCGCCTTTGGAGAAATGAGGCCCTGTGGCATCTAATTCTGTTTCCCTTAGACACAGAGGTAAGGGAGAAAGCTACCTGTTTAGAGAATGCTCTAAGAATATATGTATTTTTGCATTCGGCACTGTGGCATAGCAGGTAAAGCTGCTGCCTGTAGTGCTGGCATCCCACATGGTGCCGGTTCAAGTCCTGGCTGCTCCACTTCCAATCCTGCTCTCTGCTATGGCCTGGGAAAGCAATAGAAGATGGCCCCCAAGTCGTTGGGCCCCTGCACCCACGTGGGAGACTCAGAGGAAGCTCCTGGCTTGGATCTGCTCAGCTCCGGGTGTTCAGGCCGTCTGGGGAGTGACCCAGCAGATGGAAGACCTCCCTGCCTCTGCCCCTCTGTAACTCTGCCTTTCAAGTAAATACATATATTTTAAAAAGAACATATGTATTTTTTGAATTGCTGAAGAACCTGTGTGCAAATCTAGGGTTACCGAATGGAATGAGAGAATTTTAGGGGTCATGATTCTTCGGAAACCACAGCTTTCAGGTCCTAGCTTTCGGAGTATTGGTTCCTACACTTCAGAGTGCTTCCTTCTGGGGCACCCCAGTCTGGCAGGGAAATCACACACGCATTCCGATCTCCTGCAGCCAGGGACCTACCAGCACTAGAGAGCTACAGCAGCAATAAATGGTTTCTGATGCTTTTCAATGAGAGTAAACCCAAAGAATTGGGTTTTCTGGCCATTATGATGTTGATATTTTCATCATTTATCTTCAGAAATAACATTGGACCCATCA